ATGCTCTTGTACGCTTGTAAACAATATAATGAGCTGTCACTGGAATAATTTTAACAGCTGTCGGACGAGTGGCTTAGAAATGGCAGCAGTCTGAAATTATTTGCAGTTTTTTTATCTCACCCTGTATATGGATCTTCCTATCTCGCCGAGCTGAGTCGATCTAGCTATGTCTCTCCTTCCGGCTGTCTGTCCATGTTAATTTGTAATCACGAAATTGAAAATGGAGGTGGAGTTAGGATCAGAATAGCCTATTGTATTTGAAGATGATCGCAAAATATTTAGGGGTTGAAAAACTGAAAAAATTTGTGATTTGCTGCTGCTTTACAGACCACAATTATAAACCAATCGACGGAGAATTTTGCATGAAGTTAGATTTTAGGGCTGGGCCGAAGCCTACTGATTTAGACGGTTATCGGACAATATTATCAGCATTAAATTTTTTGTCAAAAAATTCGAAAATATCCAACACTATGTCTTGAAGGCATTATATACACGTCGCAATTTCCGTCTAATCCTCACGAAATTTTGCATGAGAATAGGATTAGCGTCAGAATTAAAGCCTATTTTTTTGAAGATGTACATTTATGGATTCAAATGGACCAAAAAATTAAAAGTTTCCTGATTTTGCAGTCGCTCTACAGGTCTCAATAGAAAACCAATCGACATGAAATTTAGCATGAGAAGAGAGTTAAGGATGCATAAGAAGTCTAGCATTTTAGATTTGGATAATATTTAGCCGTAAAATGGACCACAACTTTCGTGAGAAGTTGGTTTGAATATCTAACAACACAAGGGAGTGCGTAACTATTGGGCGAATGCCCCTAGTCAAAAAGCTAGTATAACATATTTTCAGAAACGAAATCTTCCAAATGAATTTGGACACAATGGAGGGGGCTCCGCACGGCTATAGCCTTTGCTTACTTGTTTTATTTAGAATTAATTTGGCCTGAAAAAATTTCGAACATGTGTGGAGGAGGAGGAGTGGGCCGATTTTGCCCATCCTAACACCAGAGCTTGGTTCGATAAAATTATTGGGATGTGTGAAATTTGAAGACAATGGGACTCTACACAAATCTCAATACTGAAGGGATGGGTTTATATTGACCGTTTTTCCACCTGAGATGTTACGATGCTTCAAGAGATATCAGAATATGTCATGTTTGTACCAGCCCGGTTACTTTCTTGGAGAGCTATTGGGTACAACATTCAGGACTCAGAATGGACAGGACTTCAACCAAAGAGACTTAAAGTCCAAAACCATTATTTCGATGAGGTCCATCTTGGACATTTCGAATAATAGATGGCCATATGTGGCCATAGGGTAAAACGTTTTTGAACCCAATCATAATATTGTCCTACTCTTTTAAATATGAACATTTAAAGTCCATTTATTTTAGAAAGCTAAGCGTCTGTACATTACCACACATTCTCTTCTACCCTCATAAGATTTTAAGCCGCAGGCTGACATGTTTAGCCTGTTTCCTGACGTCTGCTTTTCACGTAACACGTTATCGCACATAACAAATATGTTACGTTTCCTGTAACATTTATAATCGTTAACATTTAAAATACTCACACACATCCACAAATCAAATTGTAATTCGAGCAAAACGACCTGTTTTCGAATTTAATTTTAACTTTACAACAATTGCCACAATAATAACAATGTTAAAATATGGCCTCCGTTTTACAGTCGTATATTTAGAATTTTCATTTAAGTTTTGCTTTTCATGAAATACAATATGAAGAAATATGACTTTAAAGTTAAGAGAAAGTTAAAATTTATAACTGCGGAACATGCAATATAACGTTTGAGGATGTTTTATTTTTCAGATGAAGGACTTTTTTCGGAACCAAAAGTCAAGTTATAAAAATAATTGTGGCCATACGACACGAAAAGGTTAATGAAAACAAATATTTGAAATTGGGTCAGTTAATTAATTTTGAAATATCATCGATGACATCAGGTAATAAACAAGGAAATGGCAATCGTATGGCATTAAATATAGTAACTTTATCCTTGAAAAATATTCTTTAAAAAATCCACGTTTCTTTTGGAGCTTGAAAAAATATTTTTTAAAAATCCACGTTTCTGTTGGTCCTTTTGAAAAATATTCTTTAAAAAATCCAAGTTTCTTTTGGTTCTTTTCAAAAATATTCTTTAAAAAATCCAAGTTTCTTTTGGTCCTTTTCAAAAATATTCTTTAAAAAATCCAAGTTTCTTTTGGTTCTTTTCAAAAATATTCTTTAAAAAATCCACGTTTCTTTTGGTCCTTTTCAAAAATATTCTTTAAAAAATACACGTTCCTGTTGGTCCTTTTCAAAAATATTCATAAAAAAATCCACGTTTCTGTTGGTCCTTTTCAAAAATATTCTTAAAAAATCCACGTTCCTTTTGGTCCTTTTCAAAAATATTTTTAAAAAATCCACGTTTCTGTTGGTCCTTTTCAAAAATATTCTTTAAAAAATCCACGTTCCTTTTGGTCCTTTTCAAAAATATTTTTAAAAAATCCATGTTTCCTTTTCAAAAATATTCTTTAAAAAAATCCACGTTTCTGTTGGAGCTTGAAAAAATATTCTTTAAAAAATCCACGTTTCTGTTGGAGCTTGAAAAAATATTCTTTAAAAAATCCACGTTTCTGTTGGAGCTTGAAAAAATATTCTTTAAAAAATCCACGTTTCTGTTGGAGCTTGAAAAAATATTCTTTAAAAAATCCAGGTTTCTGTTGGAGCTTGAAAAAATATTCTTTAAAAAATCCACGTTTCTGTTGGAGCTTGAAAAAATATTCTTTAAAAAATCCAGGTTTCTGTTGGTCCTTTTCAAAAATATTCTTTAAAAAATCCACGTTTCTGTTGGTCCTTTTCAAAAATATTTTAAAAAAATCACGTTTCTGTTGGTCCTTTTCAAAAATATTCTTTAAAAAATCCACGTTTCTGTTGGAGCTTGAAAAAATATTCTTTAAAAAATCCACGTTTCTGTTGGAGCTTGAAAAAATATTCTTTAAAAAATCCATGTTTCTGTTGGAGCTTGAAAAAATATTCTTTAAAAAATCCACGTTTCTGTTGGAGCTTGAAAAAATATTCTTTAAAAAATCCACGTTTCCGTTGGAGCTTGAAAAAATATTCTTTAAAAAATCCACGTTTCTGTTGGAGCTTGAAAAAATATTCTTTAAAAAATCCACGTTTCTGTTGGAGCTTGAAAAAATATTCTTTAAAAAATCCACGTTTCTGTTGGAGCTTGAAAAAATATTCTTTAAAAAATCCACGTTTCTGTTGGAGCTTGAAAAAATATTCTTTAAAAAATCCACGTTTCTGTTGGAGCTTGAAAAAATATTCTTTAAAAAATCCACGTTTCTGTTGGAGCTTGAAAAAATATTCTTTAAAAAATCCACGTTTCTGTTGGAGCTTGAAAAAATATTCTTTAAAAAATCCACGTTTCTGTTGGAGCTTGAAAAAATATTCTTTAAAAAATCCACGTTTCTGTTGGAGCTTGAAAAAATATTCTTTAAAAAATCCACGTTTCTGTTGGAGCTTGAAAAATATTCTTTAAAAAATCCAGGTTTCTCTTGGTCCTTTTCAAAAATATTCTTTAAAAAGATCTACGTTTCTGTTGTTCCTTTTCAAAAATATTCTTTAAAAAATCCAGGTTTCTTTTGGTCCTTTTCAAAAATATTCTTTAGAAAGATCTACGTTTCTGTTGTTCCTTTTCAAAAATATTCTTTAAAAAATCCAGGTTTCTTTTGGTCCTTTTCAAAAATATTCTTTAAAAAATCCAGGTTTCTTTTGGTCCTTTTCAAAAATATTCTTTAAAAAGATCCACGTTTCTGTTGGAGCTTTAAAAAATATTCTTTAAAAAGATCCACGTTTCTGTTGGAGCTTGAAAAAACATTCTTTAAAAATCCACGTTTCTGTTGGAGCTTGAAAAAATATTCTTTAAAAAATCCACGTTTCCGTTGGAGCTTGAAAAAATATTCTTTAAAAAATCCACGTTTCTGTTGGAGCTTGAAAAAATATTCTTTAAAAAATCCCCGTTTCTGTTGGTCCTTTTCAAAAAATATTCTTTAAAAAATCCACGTTTCTGTTGGTCCTTTTCAAAAAATATTCTTAAAAAATCCACGTTTCTGTTGGAGCTTGAAGGAATATTCTTTAAAAAATCCACGTTTCTGTTGGTCCTTTTCAAAAAATATTCTTTAAAAAATCCACGTTTCTGTTGGAGCTTGAAAAAATATTCTTTAAAAAATCCACGTTTCTGTTGGAGCTTGAAAAAATATTCTTTAAAAAATCCACGTTTCTGTTGGTCCTTTTCAAAAAAAAATTCTTTAAAAAATCCACGTTTCTGTTGGTCCTTTTCAAAAAATATTCTTAAAAAATCCACGTTTCTGTTGGAGCTTGAAGGAATATTCTTTAAAATATCCACGTTTCTGTTGGTCCTTTTCAAAAAATATTCTTTAAAAAATCCACGTTTCTGTTGGAGCTTGCAAAAATATTTGTTAAAAAATCCACGTTTCTGTTGGAGCTTGAAAAAATATTTGTTAAAAAATCCACGTTTCTGTTGGAGCTTGAAAAAATATTCTTTAAAAAATCCACATTTCTGTTAATCCTTGAAAAAATATTCTTTAAAAAATCCACGTTTCTGTTGGTCATTTTCAAAAATGTTATTTAAAAAATCCACGTTTCTGTTTGTCCTTTTCAAAAATATTCTTTAAAAAATCCACGTTTCTGTTGGAGCTTGAAAAAATATTCTTAAAAAAATCCACGTTTCTGTTGGTCCTTGAAAAATATTCTTCAAAAAGCAAATTTTAATTTTTTATTTATTTTTATTTTTATTTATTTTTTTTATTTAGTTATTTTTTTTTTGTAATTTATTCACCATTTAAGAACTACTTATATTAAAATTCCTTAACCCAGACTACATCACAAAATTCTATTACAACTACATACTATTTACAGACATATATACATGATCTATAATTAATTTGAGAAGATTTTGAAGTAATCCATTTTTTGTGCACTATTTTCCTGAGCATTTAATTCTCGAGTCTCCTAATCAGTCTTTTTGCTTTCATTTGTTTTATCTTTCTCCGAAATTGTATCGACAGTTGTGTCCTTTTCGGTTTTTGGTGTCTCTTCTGGTGGGTCTTCTCTCACAGTTTCCGCTGGGGAAGAGGATTCCTCGGAAATTTCTGTTACCCTTGTTAGGGTTTGAATATTTTCTGATCCAGGCGGAGTTTCATTGGTATTTTCGGTGTCACCACTTTGGGTTTCCTTGTTGTCAGTTTCGATGGCAGGACTTTCTGTGCTTTCGCCAGGATAAGAATCTCCACGCCATTTATGCGTTTTGGTTACATAAATACCAACAACAAGCATGACAACACCAATTGTCAGAAATGCCGCACCTATATACACACCGATAGAGGGGACATTTAAGAGAAGCTGTAAAAAAGAGGGGGGATGTTTGAAATAAATTTTAAAAATTTTAAAAATTTTAAAAACTTTTTATGTCCAAATTTAAATCCTTACCTTGACCAAATCCAACATTTCATCATTGATTTCGGCATCCAGAGATATTCTCAAAAGCGGAGCATAGAAATTGTGACCCAAATCCTTGAGAATTCTGGAAAATATTTTCAAAATTATTATCAAAATTTATTTTTTGTTTGCTCTCCTCCTCAAAACTCACTCCATCTGGTCGTCCTTTTCATACAAAATACTGGCCATCATTTGACCCTTCACCTTCATGGGTATACCCCATTTGGGTTCGAGTACAACATAAGTAGCATGCTCCGGCACTGGTTCCAGACCTGTTATATTTTCCCTATATCTCTCAGATGCCATATAAAAATGAGGATGTGACATATAAACAGGGGCTCGAAAAGCCTTTGGCGAAAAATCCAGCACCCCATTTTCGGGACACTCATTGCGTTTGACACAAAAACATTTGGTATCCTCCACAATTTGGCCATTATCAAGGGTCCGATTTGTAGCCTCATAACGCCGTACATCAATACCCCGATAGGTTTCATTTCTAATGGGGAAAATATTAAGGAAACGTCCTGCATCGTAAAGGAAAATTGAGGTAGGATCATCCCATGATTTTCCAGGAGCCCATAAATCGCCCAGACTGCCATTGACACGACCACATTCGCCTTCCCAGAATTTGGTGTGATCAGAGCCATTCCACATCTTCGATTCACCCATATCCTTTAGATTACCCTTGCCCGTGTAAATGGTATACGAACCCTCCGCCTCCTTGGAATTGTTGCGATCATAGAACCAGCCAAAACGATTTGAATCCAAAGCAAACAATGGTGAATGTAAACGATAAACAAAATCCAACAAATTGTCAATGAAACCATCAAACAACCACTCCAAAGCGGTATGGGTCATGGTCATGGCCCCACCTTCTCGTTGCAGGCCAAAGTTGACAACTTTTCGAATTATTTTATGCCATTTGCGGGTGATTCTGGCAGCAGCCTGAAAAATAATTTTCATAAAAATTAAAATGTTTTTTAAGAAAAATTAAATTGTATTCCACTCACCGCCGTTGGAAAGTGTGGCATTCTTATGACATCATCCAGGCCACCACTGGATTTTTCTGGTACAAATGTCCATGTATTTGTTGAAAAGAAAGTCACCGTATGATCTTCATTATTCCATTTTAAATCCTCCTTAACTTTGACATTCTTAAAGGTATAGGGACCAACTTCTTTAAAATTAGGTTTTATTCGGGTATTATTGACTTCTTCCGGATTCGTCCAATTGTACATGTAAAAGCTCATATAGATTGGTAGCGGTGTAACAACCCATTTGTTATAGATAACCGATCCGGGAGACAATGGGAGTATCTGAAACATAAAAGAATTATTAGAAAAATTTCTAAAATCGGAGGAGAATATATATAATGGCTATTTCAAAATATGTGTCCCTTTTCAAATATTTGCTAGGATTTTTATACCATATTCAAATATTGTAGGGCATACCTTTTAAGTAAATTAAGTCCTTGAAAAAAATATTCCTTAAAAAAATCCATGTTCCTGTTGGTCCTTGAAAAAAAAATGTCCATAAAAAATTCAAGTTACTGTTGGTCCTTTTCAAAAATATTCCTTAAAAAAATCCACGTTTCCGTTGGTCCTTTTCAAAAATATTCTTTAAAAAATACTGAACAAATATTCCTCAAAAATATTCCTTAAAAAAATCCACGTTTCTGTTGGTCCATTTCAAAAATATTTTTTAAAAAATCCACGTTTCTGTTGGTCCATTTCAAAAATATTTTTTAAAAAATCCACGTTTCTGTTGGTCCATTTCAAAAATATTTTTTAAAAAATCCACGTTTCTGTTGGTCCATTTCAAAAATATTTTTTAAAAAATCCACGTTTCTGTTGGTCCATTTCAAAAATATTTTTTAAAAAATCCACGTTTCCGTTGGTCCTTTTCAAAAATATTCTTTAAAAAATACTGAACAAATATTCCTCAAAAATATTCCTTAAAAAAATCCACGTTTCTGTTGGTCCATTTCAAAAATATTTTTTAAAAAATCCACGTTTCTGTTGGTCCATTTCAAAAATATTTTTTAAAAAATCCACGTTTCTGTTGGTCCATTTCAAAAATATTTTTTAAAAAATCCACGTTTCTGTTGGTCCATTTCAAAAATATTTTTTAAAAAATCCACGTTTCTGTTGGTCCATTTCAAAAATATTTTTTAAAAAATCCACGTTTCTGTTGGTCAATTTCAAAAATATTTTTTAAAAAATCCACGTTTCTGTTGGTCCATTTCAAAAATATTTTTTAAAAAATCCACGTTTCTGTTGGTCAATTTCAAAAATTTTCTTTAAAAAATCCACGTTTCTGTTGGTCCTTTTCAAAAATATTCTTTAAAAAATCCACGTTTCTGTTGGTCCTTTTCAAAAATATTCTTTAAAAAATCCACGTTTCTGTTGGTCCTTTTCAAAAATATTCTTTAAAAAATCCACGTTTCTGTTGGTCCTTTGCAAAAATATTTTTTAAAAAATCCAGGTTTCTGTTGATCCTTGAAAAAAAAATTCCTTAAAAAAACCACGTTTCTGTTGGTCCTTTTCAAAAATATTCTTTAAAAAAATCCACGTTTCTGTTGGTCCTTTTAAAAAATATTCCTTAAAAAAATCCACGTTTCTGTTGGTCCTTGGAAAAAAAATGTTCTGTTGGTCCTTGAAAAAAAAAATGTTCCTTAAAAATCCACGTTTCTGTTGGTCCTTGAAAAAAAGTTCTGTTGGTCCTTGACAAAAAAAATGTTCCTTAAAAAAATCCACGTTTCTGTTGGTCCTTTTAAAAAATATTCTTTAAAAAATCCATGTTTCTGTTGGTCCTTTTCAAAAATATTCTTTAAAAAATCCACGTTTCTGTTGGTCCTTGAAAAAAATGTTCCTTAAAAAATCCACGTTTCTGTTGGTCCTTGAAAAAAAATGTTCCTTAAAAATCCACGTTTCTGTTGGTCCTTGAAAAAAAATGTTCCTTAAAAAAATCCACGTTTCTGTTGGTCCTATAAAAAATATTCCTTAAAAAAATACACGTTTCTGTTGGTCCTTTTCAAAAATATTCATTAAAAATTCCATGTTTCTAAAAAAAAGTCCACGGTTCTGTTGGTTCTTGTAAAAAATATTCTTAAAAAGATCCATATTACTGTTGGGCATTTTCAAAAATATTCTTAAAAAAACCCACGTTACTGTTGGTCCTTAAAAAAATAATCTTTAAAATCCAAGTTTCTGTTGGTCCTTGGAAAAATATTCTTTAAAAAAGTCATGTTTCTGTTGAATCTTGAGAAAAAAATTCTTTAAAAAATCCACGTTTAGAAGAAATTTAGTTCCTTCCATACATTTTTTCGCTTGGATGTTATTTAGGTACATTTTTTGTAGGTTTCAAAATATTATTATGCATTTCAGGGACATTTTTAATCAAATTTTAATCTTTCAAGCATTTTAAGAATTTTATGAAAGACGAACACCGTTCAGATTAAGACAGTTTTAATATGTTTGGTTTATCAGTTTCGCGTATTAGCCAAAATAAATTTTATAACAACATATTAGTAGATTAAACACTTTCAAATCGCATATTTCTCGGAATTTTATATACACCTGTTTTCACTTATTTCCAATTATTTCACATATTTTTATTTTATGTCTAGGATTTGTTTTATTATTTACCGATTTAATAATATCCTCTGACCAAATGGGCCACATCGGTATCAGTATAGCACCCAGGACCGTTAGAATAGTTCCAATGGAGAACGCCCATATTTTCTGTTGTCTCACACTACAACAATTGCAACACATTTTTTTATTTAAATATTTCAGATTTTTCTTCGATTATTTCACCACAATCTAAAGAAATTTTCTTTAGTCCACACAACACTTCAAAATTATTATTTTTTTTTTTTTTTGGCTCCTCCTTTTTGGTTCTTGCTTGCCAAAAAGTTCTTAGCCAACTACTAATCTTTGTTATTGGGTCGTTTAGTTAAATATATTCTTCAAAATTGCAATATTTGTTGATAGTGGTCGCCTATGTACGTAGACCCCACCGGGTTTATTATTAGCAGATCTTTATCGGATTATTTGTATTTTCAAAATTAAAATATCTCAACGGGCAATTGATTGAAGGTGTATGCATTGTGTTTTTCGATTTTTTATTTATATGCAGAATAATCGACGACTGTCACACTTTCACTTTCCACGACTTGCTCAATGCCCTACTAAAAAGTTTGTGAGCAATTAGTTTGAACAAAAACCTCAACATAAGCTCAACCACTTCAAACTTTGTTTGGAAAATACGCATTTGTTGTTACAACAGCCAAGTGGTTATTGTTTAGATTATTTATATCAATCGTCGCGATCTCGAAAAAAGTTTCCCATTTAAAGTCCATATGATAATACAGCACGGGTACCATTTCACTTAGATTCACGAAATAATTGAATTTGAAACTATCGGTCGACATATATTTGATAAAATTCAAGGTTAGCAACTTGATGGGAATTCCAAATCGAATTTTTATTGTTAAGTGTCTGTCTCACCACCGAAGCTATTAGAATCGTGGAAAACATAAAATCTGATATTTAGAAAAAAAAAAAAAAAAACAGAAGTTGTATCCAAAAAAATTGTCATAGAAAAGAAATGCTACTATGGGAAATAAAATTATACACATCAAAGATTTTTAGATATTCGTAGAGATACAATGTCGAGACCATTGGTATCGAAAGATCGAAATAAACTGGAATTGTAAACTTTTGTATGAAACAGGCAAACACACGACAACCTCATATAATTCTGAAAAAATACTAAAAGGCTCTAAATCATGTACGTACAGGGTGAGATAAAAAAAAAAAAACTGCAACAAAGTCACGGACCATAAGTTTTACATTTTTTTAAAATTTTATTGAATGAAAGCAAAAAATGTCGTTAATGGCATCACATTTTAGAATAAGTTTAGATTTGTTCGAATTGGTCACCTTTGGCACGAATTATGGCCCCTTGACCTGGGGTTATTGACCTTGACCTGAGAGAGGAAGAGGGAGGGAGAGAGGGCGATAGAGGGAGGAAGAGAGATAGAGAGGAAGAGGGATAGAGGAAGACGGAGAGAGGAAGAGCGCGAGAGGAAGGGGGTCTTGGGAGAGTGAGAGGAAGATAGAGAGAAAGAAAGATGGAGAGGGTGATAGAGGGAGAGCGAGAGAGGAAGAGGGAGAGAGGAAGAGAGAGAGGAAGAGGGAGAGAGAGGGGGAGAAAAAGAGAGAGAGGGGGAGAAAGAGAGAGAGAGGGGGAGAAAGAGAGAGAGAGGGAGAGGAAGATGGAGAGAGAGGGAGACTGAGTAGAAGAGGAAGGGAGAGAGGAAGAGGGAGAGAGAGTGAGTGGAAGAGGAAGGGAGAGAGAGAGGAAGAGGGAGAGAGAGAGGAAGAGGGAGAGAGAGAGAGGAAGAGGGAGGGAGAGTTAGTGGAGGAGGAAGGGAGAGAGAGGAAGGGAGAGAGAGGAAGAGGGAGAGAGGAAGTGGGAGAGAGAGGGAGAGAGAGAGGAAGAGGGAGGGAGAGAAAAGAGAGAGGAATAGGAAGGGAGAGAGAGAGGAAGAGGAAGGGAGAGAGAGGAAGAGGAAGGGAGAGAGAGGAAGAGAGAGAGAGAGAGGGAGAGAGAGAAAAGGTCAATGACCCCAGGTCAAGAGGTCATTGACCCCAGGTCAAGAGGTCATTGACCCCAGGTCAAGAGGTCATTGACCCCAGGTCAAGAGGTCATTGACCACAGATCAAGAGGTCATTGATCCCAGGTCAAGAAGTCATTGACCCCAGGTCAAGGGGTCGTTGACCCCAGGTCAAGGGGTCATTGACCCCAGGTCAAGGGGTCATTGACCCCAGGTCAAGGGGTCATTGACCTTTTCTCTCTCTTTCTATCTTTCTCTCTCTCTCTCTTTTTTTCTCTCTCTCTCTTCCTCTCCCTCTCTCTTCCTCTTCCTCTCCCCTCTTGATCTGGGGTCTCCCCCCTCTCTCTCCCTCTTGACCTGGGGTCAATGACCTTTTCTCTCTCTTTCTTCCTCTCTCTCTCTCTTCCTTTCTCTCTCATTTCTGTAATTTCAAAACACATACAATAACAAAATAAAAACATGCTATAAAAACTTTTGAGTTTCTCTGCCTACCCCTGCTCTGTAGATAGAACACATTTTAGTACTCGTCTATAACCTACTTAAAGCTCTCCAAAAAGCAAAGACTGACTGCAGGTGTTACACTGTCTTAGCATGACTTTTAAAACTGATGATTTTCTATCAAATCTTCTTTGAATAGAAAATAAATCATATGACTTCCTAAAATTGGTAACATGTGGGAGTTCCCTTTGACACCATTACTTTGAATAATGCCGAATATAGGGTACCAAATAATTGATGTCTCTTACTATATTGTCATGCTTTGCATTGTTATCTAAATTATCCATACAGTTTATTTTTCTTTTCGAGTAATTTTTATCCCAAAATTGAAAATTTTTATTGGAAATAAATTTTTTGAACAATACATTTAGCGAGATTTTTTTTTATAAGAAATTGATAAAAAAAACTATAACTTGTTCATAATTTGTATGATTATTTGTATTCAAATACGTGTAAATTCAGTTAATAATCTCTCTTAAATCCAAATAATACCATTAAAAAATCAATTGAATATAAAAATAGGCAATTAATTGTTCTACTACATAATAGTTTATTATTATTTTTTTTACTTTTTTTGGAAAACTACATTTATACACCATTCCATTCCAGTCCATTTCTGGTCCTTCTGTCCATTCCTGGTCTTTCGGTCCATTTATTTATTTATTTTTTGCATAGGGTCTTATGTTGAAAATTCTGAAAGTTAATTTAATATAATTTTAGGAGACAGCAATGTCACAAGGGTATTAAAGAGTTGGGGAAGAAAAAGTGTGTGGCGGCTAAGTACCTTTTAAAATTCCAGGAATCGGCATTTGCAATATTATTTTGTTTTTTAAAATTTGAAATTCTGTAGGTTCCCGAAACAACGCCAAAAAGAGGGTGAGAAAAAACTGCAACCAATTTCAGACTGCTGTCATTTCTAAGCCACTCGTGCGACAGCTGTTTCAATTAATCCAGTGACAGCTCATTATGTTGGCTACGCGCGTACAAAAGCATTTTGGTGAGAATTTTCCAGAAAAAAATTTATTCGTGATAGAATTGAAGCCTGATAGTGTGATTTATATTTGGCTGGAAAACCACAAGTGACCAACGTTAGAGCACTCCAGCATTTAAATGTGAATAAATCGTTTGTGTCTCGTACCATCGCTCGTTACCGTGACACTGGTATCGTAGCCCGACATCAAGGAAGTGGACGGAAGAAAGCAGTAACATCAGCAGAAATGGTTCGAAAAGTAAAGAAGCGACTTGATCGAAACCCGCGTCGCTATGTACGATTAATGGCTCGTGAGCTGAACATATCGCAATACTCAATTCGGCAAATATTGAAAAATGAGCTCGGGGTAAAGCCATTGAAACTCCAAAAAGTGCAAGAACTTACACCGCAACAGAAATAATATAGACTCAAAGGAGCTAAAAAGTTGCTTCGCTTGGGCGCAGAGAAAATACCAGAAAGAGGTAAAATGACGAATTTGGTTTCTCCGATGAGAAAACATTTGTTGTCCCGCAGTTTGTAAACAAACAAAATCATCGTATTTGCTTGCCAAGAGGTCAGCTGAAAATGTGCACCATCGGTTGGCCATCAGAACTCAAGCGCCGGCCATGATGATGATGGTATGGGCCGCCATAACAGCCGATGGTCGCTCTCCGCTTGTATTAATCGACCGTGGCATCAGAATAAATGCCGAATATTATCGCGAAAATATTCTGTAGGGTGTATTAAAGCCTTGGGCACGCAAACATTTTGGCCGCAGACCTTGGACATTCAAGCAGGACTTAGCATGCGCCACCCAAGAATGGTTACAAAATGAGATTACTCGCTTCATTTTCAGCGAACAATGGCCACCAAAATCTCCGGATACCAATCCGTTGGACTATTGTGTCTGAATTATTTTGGAAAGCAAGGTTGGCACTAAAAATACCAAAGTGTCGATCACCTCAAGCAAGCGCTTCGCCTGGAATGGGCAAAAATACAGCAGAGCAGAATTCGGACAGCGTGTGACGGTTTCATTGGCCGTTTGAAGACCATAATTCGTGCCAAAGGTGACCAATTCGAACAAATCTAAACTTATTCTACCATTTGATGCCATTTCCGACACTCTTTCCTTTCATTCGATTTTCTTGCAGTTTTTTTTTTATCTCACCATCGCACATTAAAATTTTTTATAGGTGACACAATTATGTTTCAAGCTCCAATCAAACGATAACAGCCTTTCAAAAATTTCACAAGTGCAGGTGCAAATTTAACCGAACTAAACTCTGTAGAGCTTTATCAAAAAATAGTAGCAGATTGCATTACCACATAATCTTGAATTTTTTTTCATTTATTAATTAATCTAATCGCTGCAATAAATTGTTAATGGTCCTTATGTCTAGGCTAGTGTTTTTTGGTAATCTTTATATCTGGAATGATAAGAAATAAATGTTTTTCTCGACACCAACATAAAGATTAGGCGGATTGCATGCATCCCTCTGTAACGCATAAACATTGTAGTTGCTTGGAGCTGATAGGGGATCAAGGTGAACATATGGGTAAAATTGAAAGCACATATGAAGCTCCTGCACCCATACCATAAGTGCTGTAGAACCAAAAGATTTACAGATAGGCGAAGGGCATACAGGTGGATATGTCTTTATTAAATTAGAATTTTGTTTTATAAAAAAAACATTATTGTTTTTTGTGTAAAGTTATTAATAGAAATGCTGCAAAGACCGACGTTTATGGAAAATATTGATTTTTCTAGTGTAAGTGCAATTTTTGTTTTCTAAACATATTTAAAAAAATAATTCTATATTCAAATATACATCGAATTTTCCCTTCCGCTTTACACGCAGTAATAAAATCTCGCAATTTGTTTTAAAATTAATAACTTTCTTGTGTCCCAACTATTAGTATGTACTGTAGAAACACCAGTACATTTTTGTTTTGTTAAAGCATACCATTAGGCGAAGAAATTTAATGAACGGTATGAAAAAAATTTGATGTTTATTTAATTCACAGGGTGGCCCAAAAATACAAATTTATGCATTGATATATTGTGACCCTGTTTAGAAAATATCTGCTCATCTATAAAATTTGCGAAAATAAATCCGAGTATAAAATAATATTTCTCATCTTTAGAGTCAACAATTATTATAACCTCCACCATTCTATGGAGGGTATATTAACTTTGTCATTCCGTCTGTCTGTTGCAATCACGCTATCTTTCGAACGAATTGAGATAGAAGGCCAATATTTTGCATACAAGCATAGTTTACCAGTAGGCAGGTTAAGTTCGTAAATGGGCCATGTCGGTCCACGTTTTCGTATAGCCCCAATATAACGGTAGCTCCCGATATTCGGTATTTTGATGATTTCAGCAACATTATTCACCGGAATCGTTTCAAATTTCGAATTGGGAGATCTTAATGGTTACCACAACCTATGGAAAGAAAATTTGTATCCAGGTCCACGTCTTCGTATAGCTCCCATATAACGGTACCTCCCGATAATGGGTATTTTCATGATTTTAACGACAGAATTTACCAGAACTATTGCAAATTTCGTATTTGAAGTTCGTAATGGATACTACAGCCTATGACAAACATTTTTGTACGTAGGTCCACGTCTTCGTATAGCCTCCATATGACGGTACCTCCCAATATTCGGTATTTTGATGATATTAGCGACATTATTTAGCAAAGTAGTTTCAAATTACGCATTTAGAGTTCGTAATGGATACTACAGCCTATGACAGAAAATTTTCTGAGCAGGTCCATAACTTCGTTTAGCCCTCATATAACGGTACCTCCCAATATTCGGCATTTTCATGATTTTAGCGACAGTATTTATGGGAATTTTTGCAAATTTCGTATTTGAAGTTCGTAATGGTTACTACTGCCCATGACAAACATTTTTGTGTGCAGGTCCAAGTCTTCGATAGCCTCCATATAACGGTACCTCCCCGATATTCGGTATTTTGATAATATTATCGTCATTATTCACCGGAGTAGTTTCAAATTACTTATTTAGAGTTCGTAATGGGAACTACAGTCGGTGACAGAAAATTGTCTATGTAGGTCCTGGTCTTCGCATAGGCCCTTATATATCAGTACCTCCCTACATTCGGTATTTTGACGATTTTAGGTACAATACTCACCGAAATTGTTTGAGATGTCGTATTTGAAGTTCGCAATGGATGCTACAGCCTGTGACAGAAAATTGTCTATGCAGGTCCAGGTCTTCGTATAGCTCCGATATAACGTTACCTCCCCAAATTCGGTATTTCGAAGATCTGAGCGAAATTATTCACCGAAATTTTTTCAAATTTGGTATTTGAAGTTCGTAATAGATTCTACAGCCTATGACTGAAAATTCTCCGTGTAGGTCCACGTTTTGGTATAGCCGCCATATAATTAATGGTACCTCCCTTTAATCGATATTATTAGCTACATTATTTATTCACCGATTTTTTTCAAGTTTCGAATTTGAATATGGTAATGGCTTATGATAATGGCCTATGAAGGTCCACGTAGTACAGAACCAAATATAACGGCAATATTCGGCACTTTTAAGATTTTAAGCAAATTCTTAACGGATTTTATTTTTTGAAAATTTCCAAATTCTGTCCAAATGGTGGAGGGTATTCAGGTCTTTTTTGGTATTGAAAATGGGTCATGTAGGTCCATGTTTTGGTATAGCCCCCATATGGTATGTCCCTCTTTTCAGCATTTTAGTGATTTAAGCGACATTATTCACCGGAAATCCTTCAAATTTGCCATTTGAAGTTCGTAATGGATACTAAAGCCTATGACAAATAACTCTCCGTGCAGGTCAGGTATGGCCCATCTATAACGTTACCTCCCGATACTCGGCATTTTGGTGATTTTAGCGACATTATTCACCAAAAAATTTTCAAATGTGCTATTTGAAGTTCGTAATGGATATAACTGCCTATGGCAGAAAATTGTACGTGCAGTTCTACGTCTTCGTATACCTCTCATATAACGGTACCTCCCGATATTCGGTATTTTAATTATTTTGGGCTACATTATCCATCGATTTTTTTTTTTTTAATTTTCGCATTTGAATATTGTTATGGCTTTTGACAAAAGTTGCCTAAGCAGGTCCACTTCGTCGTATAGACCCTAAAATAACGGCTATATTCGTTATTTTTAAGATTTTAACAGAATTTTTAACGGATTATATATTTTTTGAAAATTGCCAAAATCGATCCAAGTTTTTGAGGATATTCAAAGATCGGCCCAGCCGAACTCACAGCTTTTTTACTTGTTATTTTTTTTTTATTTCTTGTTCTTTCGAACAGAGATCTTATGTAACAATAGTATTTCATTTGGCAAGGATACAAAAAAATTAAACTATAAAATAATAATTAAAAAAGCGGTACAAAAACTCTTATGACTAACTTAAAACTATAAATTTGTTCTTAACTCCTGCAAATGCTTTAGCCCTAGTAAATGCTTTGGTGCAGAGTTGGGAATTGTTGATCCTTAAACTAGTGATTATTAATGATGGTGTTTTCATCACCGATGGGTTCATACCATCGCTTGGTAACCGTAACAAATATGCCCACAGATGCTATTAAAACGGCCAGGCATGTTATGCCGATGCCGGTGTATAGGCCAATGTTGGGGATATTGAGGGCGAGCTGGAAAAGAATTTTTAAAAATTAAAATTATTATTTGAAAAAAAAAAAAATATTTATTTAAAAATTAATACCCCATACCTTAACTTCCTTGGCAATATCGGGTGTAATTTTGGCAATACTGTTAATGGTGAACAGAGGGGCATAAAACGAGGGTATGCCCCTGAGTAGTCTGCAATTAAAAATAAATATATATTTTACAAAATTTAAGCATTCAAAATATACACCGCGAACTTACGATATATCCCTATCCGGTTGAATGTACAAACTAATCTGTATGGCCACATTTACATCCAAGGGTACACCCAATTTCGGTTCCATTGTTATGAAGAATACATCCTTTTCCGGATCTGCCTTGGTTCCCGTTGTGGTATTGGCATAGCTTGGATCGGCATATAAAAATCCGGGATGTGACATAAACATTGGGGCACCGTCAGCACAACTGCGTATGTCTGTAGCACCATGCTTCGGGCAATTATTTGGCATCAACTCCCGAGGACAATAACACTTCATATCCGGATTAAGGGTACCACTATCATATGTATCCGGTTTTGTTTCATAGCGTATACCCTCAATACCCTCAATTGTAGTCCGACCTGATGGCACCAAATTGATGATGCGACATGTGTCTTTCATGAAAATCGTTATCCACTCATCGGGCTTGCGATTGGGTACAAACAAATCCGATGTGCTGCCATTCACCCGACCACATTCGTCCTTAAAATATCCTGTGTGATTAACACCATTCCATAACTTTAATTCACCCATTTCTCGTAGATCTTCGGCACCGGTGTTGATCGTAAAAATTCCCTCGAAATCTGCCGAACCATTACGATGCAGAAACCAGGCGAAATGATTGTCCTTAATGTCACCCGTCATTGAGTTGTTCAGTTTCATGGCATAGTCCAGAAATTCATCATAGAAACCCTTAAACAGCCACTCATCGGCTGTGTGCGTCTGATACAGGGCACCACCATTGCTATTTAGAGCAATGTTGAAGAAGACTTTTATAACTTTGGGAAAGTCGCGAGCTATGTTCGAGGCAGCCTGAAAATATGAACAAAGACAGATGATATTTTAGGATTATGGTTTTCAGGAACATAGTTCGTACTATAATTAAAATGACAAATATTTTCAATAGTTGATTGATATCAACAAAAATTGGTGATTCGAAAATATTAGTGCAATTTTGGACCCATTCGGTGATTTTTGAAAAATAACAACCCTATCACAAAATGGAGCGTATATTAAATTTGTCATGCCGTATGCAACATCTCGAAATATGTCGAAATATCTATCCTCGGAGAATAATTATGATTAACGTTAATTGAAGTCTCGATAGAGTTCCACCTTGAAAGATAGAGCTTTGAAATTTTGTACAGACATTTATATTATCTATAGGAAAAATCGATTCGGGCTAAGGTATAGCACCTTTCTATTTTTATTTTCGTTTTTGTTTTTCAGGTTTCTGTCCATATTTCAACAAGAGCAGACACAATTCAAGATTTGGGGGCCTCAGTAAGAAAATTAAATTTTACGTAAATATTCAATTTTGCTATAGCTCACTTATTACAGTGGCTCCTGATTTGTTGGTATTTTAAAGGTGTTGGCCCACTTTTGTAGCTTATTTTAGCCAATGCATTTAATATAGGTTCACGTATGGTTTAGTCCCCTTTAAGCGGTTCCTCCTGATTTTTGAAGAATTTTAAAGACTAGTTTTCAACCAAATTAGTTCTCGATGAGAGTTTTATAAAAAGTTCGGACCGACGGAACTTAACGTCTCTTTTATTTGTTTTTGAGAAGAAAAAACTGCAACCAACTTCAGACTGCTGTCATTTCTAAGCCATTCGTCCGACAGCTGTTAAAATTATTCCAGTGGCAGCTCATTATATATTGTTTACAAGAGTACAAAAGCATTTTTGGTGAGAATTTTCCAAACAAAGTTATCTGTGATGGAATTCAAGCGTGATAGTGTGATTTCTTTATATTTTGCTGGAAAACCACAAGTGGCTATCGTTAGAGCACTCCAGCATTTAAATGTGAATAAATCTTTTGTATTTCGTACCATCGCTCGTTACCGTGATATTGTAGCGTAGCCCGACGTCAAGGAAGTGGACGGAAGAAAACAGCAACATCAGCAGAAATGGTTCGAAAAGTAAAGAAGCGACTTGATCGAAACCCGCTTCGCAGTGGCTCGTGAGCTGAAGATATCGCAATATTCCATTCGGCAAATATTGAAAAATGAGCTCGGGAGCTATTGAAATTCCAAAAAGTTCAAGAACTTGCATTGCAACAGAAAAAAATTTGACTCAAATTGACTCAAAAGATCTAAAGAGTTGCTTCGCTTGGCCAAAAGTGGTGAACTGCCGAATTTGGTTTTCTCCGATGAGAAAACATTCGTTGTCCAGCAGTTTGTAAACAAACAAAATGATCGTGTTTTCTTGCCAAAGAGGTCAGCTGCACCTTCGGTTGGCTACCAGAAAACAAGCGCCGGCCATGGTGATGGTGTGGGCCGCCATAACAGCCAATGGTCGCGAAAATATTCTGGAGGGTGTATTAAAGCCTTGGGCACGCAGACATTTTGGCCGCTGACCTTGAACCAAGCATGGTTACAAAATGAGGTTCCTCGCCTCATTTCCAGCGCACAATGGCCACCAAAATCTCCGGATACCAATTCGTTGGACTATTGTGTCTGGAGTATTTTGGAAAGGAAGGTTGGCACTAAAAAATACCAAAGTGTCGATCACCTCAAGCAAACGTTTCGCAGGGAATGGGCAAAAATAACGCAGAGCAACATTCGGGCAGCGTGTGACGGTTTCATTGGCCGTTTGAAGACCAAAATTCGTACCAAATATGACCAATTCGAATAAATCTAAACTAAATCTTAAATTTGATGCTATTTTTGACATTTTTTGCTTTAGTTCAATGAAATTTAAATAAAATGTAAAAATAAAAAAAATGTAAAAATTGTAGCGTTTGACTGTGTTGCAGTTTTTATATCTCACCCTGTATAATTAAAATGATATATATTTTAGCCTATTATTGATATTAACAAAAAATGCTGATTATGATAATCTGATAATAAGTAAATATACCCTCAGCTATATATTTGTATGGGCAAAATTACAAGAAATTATCTAATTTTACGCGAAATTATGAATTCCGATAAAATCCATATTCATCCCACGTTTTTGGTTGAGAGAAATATATTTAAATATAGCTACGTTGTAAAGAATCGCTGGTTTAAGATGGGATATATCGGTCCACTCCTTTTGGTACCTCCCCAACATAGGGTCAAAATTTTGAGTATCCATGAAGGTCATAAAACGCGAAATTAAAATCCGATTCCATTCAGACTTGGCACATGTCAATATATCCATCAACACAAGATCTGTTATAAAGACGATAGAGATCGGACAATTTCTTCTGATACCTCCCCCACATAGGGTTCAAGATTTTGAGAAACCAAACACTGAAAGAAAACGAAATAAGCATCCAACTCTGTTCTAATTTCAGACATATAAACCTGAGATGAATTTGGATTTTATGATTTCGAAAAAATTGGATATAAATATTCGATTTTCTTTTTATTTTGCTCATACCAATATTTTTATCTGTATTAGATGAAGTATGAAAATGGAATACTCCGGTCGACATATCTCGTACGTCATGCACATTTTAACATTTTCAAAATTTTTTAACATTTTTTCTCATATAAAGTTAAGGAGGCGGTTGATGTATTCGAAACCTGCCACGTCGCAATATTTATATCGAATTTATTTAGGTCCGATACGAAATTGATAATATTGACCCATGCCATCGAAACCTACTCCATAGAATATATATAATCATAACAGAAGTCAAAATATATTTAAATAATCGAACATTGGCTAAGGGTATACATCTATCGGCAAAACCGCCTGATACTTTTTAATTTGTATTTAAAGTGATTTCAGCATAGCACCGCTGTAATTTTTTAATTCTGTGAAATCCCAGCAGATAACAAGCTTTGATTCAAATCTAAATGAAGCCGTCTTTACAACTTTTCGTTTCTTAAATACTGATATATTAAATAATGTCATTTCTGTTTTTGATTAACATCTTAACTGCCGGTTATTATTTTAGAAACGTGACCGCAAAATTTCACGTAATAAAGTTAATTATTTTTATAATTATTTTAATGTAATTGCTAATTGAGAAATACAATGTTGTAATTTCAAAGATTTTGTGGACTTGGAATTTCATCACGATTTTGTGAATTTTAATACAGCAGATTGTAAGTATACCCACACACACAACTGTAAAAAAATAAATTTTGGCCAGAATATAAGCTTATCGCATAATATTTAGGGGTTGAAATGGACCAAAAACTGAAAAATTTCCTGATTTTGCAGTTGCTCTGCAGGTCACAATTGTAGACCAATCGATGCTGAAGCTAGTATGGGGCTAGAGCTTAGGGCTGGGCAGAAGCCTTTCAATTTTCATGGTCATCGCGTAATATTTAGTGGGTGAAATAGACCATAACATTTGTGTTAAATAAAAGTCAAATTTTCCATTCAACCACGAATATTTTTAATCCCGGCCAAATCACAAATAGACGAACAGGTCAATTCTGACCGTTACGTAGATGCCGATAGTAAATATATATATATAAAATCGCATAAAAATATGCCAGTAATGATGTTAACATAGATTTTTTAGTATTTTGTGAATTTTTTTATTTTTTCATATTTTTTATCGCATGCGATTTTTTCAATTTGATTTATAACATTGAAGTGTATATTTTGAAATGTTTTTTCACCTTACAACACAGGTTGGGGTTATATACAGATTGCAATTATCGTCCGATCCTCACGAAAATTTTCAAAAGAGTAGGGTTACGCTCAGAAGGGCTAGCCCTATTGTTTCCAAAGATGTCCGCAATATATTTAGAGGTTGAAATGAACAAACAACTAAAAATGTTCCTGATTTTGCAGCCGTTATAAATCTCACAAATAGAAAGCAAAGGATACCAAATCTCGCACGAAGTTAGAGAATGTGAAAAATACCAACACTTCCATTCTAGCGAAACGCTGAAAATAACTTACAGACAATATCCAAAATACACAAAAAGGCGAACTTCTGGCTTTTTTATGCTGATTTCGTTGACGAATATAGCCAAATATCACAAACAACAAATCATATAGATGAGTCTAAATTAAAGGGCCTCTTGCTTTTGGAGATGATCCCAAAATATTTAGGGGTTCAGTCACCCAATAACAGAAAAAATTTCCTGATCACACAATTGAAACCAATCGACACGGAATTTTCCCTGAGAAAAGAGTTAAGAACAGGGAAGAAGTTTAGTTGTAAAATGGACCAAAAGAAATAGCATCACGACGGAGTGCGTAAATATTGGGCAAATGTCCCTGGTCAATATGTTAAGGGTAATATCTGGGCAGTGTTCCGTGACATAATTTCGAATGCGAAATCTTACAAAATGGATTTGGACATAAGAGAGCTTCTAACATATTGTAGTGTTGTAGGGTATCACATGGTCGGCCCCACAAGGCCTTTGCCTCTTTTCTTATTACATAGAGGTACTAAAGTTCCTTTCCTAAATTAATATTTGGATGCGTTGGTGCAGCAAATTCAAATATTCGATTTCAATGATGATAAGCAATATTGTGTGAAAAAATGGTCTATGGCCTATGACTTATGTCTCCTTAGTTAATTGAATTTATTTTAGCCATTTTTTAGAAATCTATCCCACTGTACAATTTTAATTTGCTTTGCAAGATAAACTCAGTTTCTGGGAATCCCATGAATATTGGGATTTGTAGAAACTTAAATGCATTGCTTTCTATAATTTCAGTTTTATAGATTTTCTCAATGTTCAAATGACACAATTGCAAAACAATGTAATAACTGGTTCTTAATGAGTTTTGCTGTGTCGCCGACATAAAGAATGACAAATTCAATATCGACAGCACACATTTTCCTAATATTGACGAACAATATTTATAGTTTATCAAAAGCTTTTTCTTATGCAAGAAAGTTCAATTGAA